TATGATCAAATGATGATATATGTTGGCTGTACAGGCCCCGCTCTTATTTATGCCGCGCCTTAGCTGAGCACTTAAAGGAGGTCTCTCCGGTGGTAATTCGATGCCAGAGTCCTTTACATAATTACGCCTGTGGCGAGTTCCGCTACGCGAGCCTGAGAAATTGCGACCTCGACTGACTTTTGGCAATACGAAAACGTCATTTGTATGGTTAAGGACTCGTAATTGCCTACCTGCTTAATATCCTGTGAGGAAAACTCACGCATTTCCACAAATCCACCGTTTGCATATGCATGTGTTGCTCATCGCTTGATTTGATAAACAAGAGCTGATTGAGGCTCAGCTGCCGAGTGGGCAAATCGATTTCAGTGTCTGTCGCATCTGTTGGTCCTTCAAATGGTGCTTGCAACTGGCGACTTCCTGAGCTGTGCATATCCTTGCATAGCCATGCATATCCTTGGGCTAATCTGCATAATTTGGCTGAGCAAAGCGCATCCTTTTTCCGACTGTCCTCACTTGTTGATCAACCGCAAACAGCCAGCAAGTGTGTTGAAATTTCCGTTCAATACGTATTTGGACAACGATTTCAAGGATTTCAAACATGCCTTCTCCACCCTGCTGCCCCCTTCTCGGATGCTTAATCTCCGCCGTTACCATGTGGCGCAGACATCAAATGTGGCAATAATGAGACAGCCGAGAGAAGGCGCTACTGAGAAGCGCTTAGAGAGGCGAGCGGAGCGAACGAGTAATAACATTTTCATTTTAATGCACTCAAAACACATTTAGTCAAAGTTGCGAGCAGCTGCCTCCAAATGCCGCCAGCATCCGGTTCTCCTGCTGCAGCAGGAGCTGATGTCGTCGCTGCTGCCACTGCCGCTGCTGCTGCCGCTGCCGCTGTGGTGACTGCGGTAAAGTCAAACCACCAAGTCAGTCAGAGCAGGATACACCTAAGCACATACAAACACACACACACAAACACACACGCGCACATCCACACAGCGGCGCCCATCAATGCCTTGGCTTCATTTGCGCTAGCTGCGCTTCCTCTAGAGATTCTCGACGCATTGAGCACGTACCGTTTGCAACCGCAAAAACCTATATGTGCACGCCCACACAGGCAACCCCAATCACCCACCCACACAGTGAGCGGCGCAATCTCCTCCTGCACCTTTTCATTCTATAGGTTTTTTTTTTTTTTTTTTTTGCCAGCCACCCATTTTCCATTTACATTACGAATGTAACATTCATTTTTGACAAGCATAATTTGCGGTTGGTGCCGCAACAGGAGCAGTCGCTAGCAACTCGGGGACTTGGAGCTGGAGCTGGAGCTAGAATTGGGCTTGGATTCAGCCAGAGATAGGGTAGGGACAGGGACTGGTTACGAGCAGTCGTAAGGTTTGGCTTATTTACAGCCAGCAGCGAGCGGGCACTTTTCTAATGCAAAAATGATGCACTGCACCGCACGGAGCAGCCAGCAGCCAACAGCCAACAGCCAAGAGCCAAGAGCGAGAGAATGTGGCTAAAACAAGCAGTCGGTGCAGCTGCAACAGTCAGGACCTGCGCCTGTGCCTGGGCCTGTCCTGGCCTACCCACAATGGCAATGAAAATTTAGAAACCAATATTTGAGAGGAGCAGAAGACGCAGGCGGTGCAGCTGGAGGCGTCTGCCAAGAGCAGGCAGCAATCAGGAGCAGCGGGACAAGGGACGCTGGCAACAATGAAGAGGCTGCAAAATAAATCTGTTTGCCAAACAGTTATTGCTCCTGTTACATTGCGCCKCCCCAAAGCAGCAGCAGCAGCAGTGGAAGAGGAAGATGCAGCTACTCGTTCTGGCTATATAGTATGCCCCTATACTTGGCAAGCGCTCAATAATTGGCAATGACTACACTTTGCGAAAAATATACTGAATATTTGCTGAACAATGAAGAAATTATTGAAATTATTAAGAAATATCTGGAGATTGAGCTTATATATAAACAAAATTTAGTTTTTAATTTATTTGTAAAATAATTACATTTTATATACTTACATATCTCAATGCAATTTCTTCAGCAGTATTTATTCAAAAAAGACTATAAAAATTTTTTAACAAAATTAACTTTAAATATCAGCAATTCCTTTATAAAGTTCGAATGCATTCAAGGTTTCCACAAGATTATATTTATAGATCTAGGTTTCAAGTAATGGATCATAGTATAATACAAAAATGGAATATTCAATGCCAACCAATAGAGCTCAAAGCAAGGTTTATTCAACATCAGTTCAACTGGAAGCAGACCTTAAAAAACAGACTGCCAAGCTAATTTACAACTGCCATGCCTAAGCCATTTTTATAGCCCAATCTCATTAGAAATATAACATAATGTAAATCTAATCGAATCAATATAATTACCATTTAATATACAAATTTCGCTGTGTGTAGAGTGTCAGCAGCGTGGCCTTTGTATTCAAGTCCCTTTCTCTGTCACTCTCCATGTCGCCGTCTCTCTTTTTCTGTCTGTGCGTCACTCTTTTGCCTGCTACGCTTAGGACTCAGGTGCAGCTAGGATTTCTATAAATTCCATTTAAGCGATTATGCAAGTCGTTACGAGCCGAAAGCTGCCTGCAGCTCGAAGATCAACAAAATGAAATGCAATACGTTATAACTGACAGTCCTTGCAGCCCCCTCTTTCTCCCTCTATCTCGCTCTCACTCTATCACTGCTGTCTCTGTTCTCTCCTTCGGTATCTCTGTCCCTCTCTAGACACATGGCTAGCTACATGCCTCCGGCTTAGTTTTGTTTTCGTTTTCGAATCAATATGCCCTTAGCTTATGCTTAAAGGTGCATTCAGAACTCATCCCCGATTGAGCATTGATTAAAGTGTTTCGCTTGCAAATTTATGTAGCAAATATTAACCCAATTGCTCCCCAAGGAACACTCCAGCAGCACTGGCAAAAAACCAAAAGCAAACTTTGCCCATGCACAAAAAAAAAACACACACACAAACACACACACAACAAACAGAAAATCAACGTTAGAATGTATAACTAGCGAGCATAGCCGACTGTGGTGATGCTCTACTCGAGTTTTTAATTGACTCAATTAAATTGACTTGGCTTGACTTGAATTTGTGACAATAGTTTATACCATTCTAAAAATGAAGTAATTAAGACACTGTAATGCAAACCTTAGGCTGATATACTAAATATATATTGCAATCTCCAGCGCTACGAATTCTATGCAATCCAAATATACTTTCCTTCCATTTGCTTTGCACACCAATAAAAATGGCGCGTCGAGTAAGTTTTTATTTTATTTGTTGTTGTTGTTTTGTTTGGAACAGTTTTCGATATTTTTTGGAATACAAATTATGTTCGTAATCTCCATTCATTGACATGTTGGCCCGTGTAGCAGCAGGTACACACATCTCACTCACATCTTGTATAACAACATCGTCTCGCATGTATTTATGCCAGAAATAGGGGTCGACCGAGAAAGGGACTGAAACAGCTACCCACTTAGTTCGACCTTTATGCATGGGTTTATATGTGGCAACTTTTTTTTTTTGCTTTTGGGCCCAGCCCATCGTTTGCCATGAATATATGAGAGCTGTTCTATTTATTGGATTTTTCATGATGCTAAAAGTTGTTCGGAACTGTCAAAATTTCGTCGATTGTTTATGGCAACAACTAAACCAGAAAAGAAGCAACAAAAGTAATAATAATTGGGGGCTTGAGAGGCTTAACAATTTCCCAAAGCTCTATATGGGTAATACAATATTGGTAGAGTTTTTATATACAAATGTACCTACATATATGTAGTATATAGATATGTCCGTAGGGTAAATTGAATTGGTAAAAAATAAAGTTTAGTCTTCTTTAAAAAATATCTTTATAAAAGCCATAAAGTTGATGGGCTTAAACTTTTACGACCATATACATACATACATAAATGCATATATTATATGTGTATAAATATAATCATTAGAATAAATATAATTTAACATTTTTTGTGGTTTCTTTGCTGAGTTCAATAAATAATAATATATCACAAAATATTATATATATGTATGTATGTATACGTTGATCTGTTAACTCATGCAAACATCTTTTAACTAAACTAATTATTTTTATATCTCAAAACAAATACAGAATAAGTGCATTTATACACGCATATTACAATTGATACATGTACATATGTATAAACACACACAAATATGTCCGTGTGTATATGTATGCACTTTTAATATATTATCATAATCAATGATGAGCAAGCCAAATAACACCGCATTGACACACAATAGCGCTTAAGAGAGCTGCCTAAGAGCTGCCGCAACGGCACGCAGCAAAGAGTAGGCGAGCGAGCGAGCGGGATGGAGAAATAAAATGAGCGTAAGCAGCGTCAACATCTGACTGACACGGGCGAATTGTGGCGATTGCGGCGAATTCGTTTTCAGTCACTTTGCCGACGACGCATCGAGTTTGGTGTTTTTTCCTAGTGCGGCCGCAACTAAATTAAAATAGTCAACAATATTGTAAGAAAATTTAATAAAAACACCTTATTATTAACTAGAAAACGATTCGGCATACGTAGCAACAGCTGTTCAACTGCATGAGCTAAAAATCAGCTAAATACAATAATAAAAATATTGGTAAAGCAAATTATAATAGCTTCGTCTGCATACTTACATACATACATATGTATGCATGTGTGTAGGTAAGTGTACGCATATACAAAATGTGCAGGGCTTTACATACAAAATGCATATGCGTGTATGTAAAAATGCCCGTACATAATAAATAGATGTCTTTTTTATATCATGTCTACATTTTGCAGTTGCACGTACCACAACAACAAGAGTAACAGCGACAGAGTGGCAACCACAAGCACAACAACAACAGCAGAAGAAAAAGTAACAGAGAAAACAATGCAGAACGCGCCACAAGCGTGAAAGCAAAGCGGAATCAAAACAACAACAAAATCAAGCAAGATTTTTCTACCAATAAAAATTACATACAACGTGACGCACACACAGTCATAAATGTATATATAGATGCATGTATATTGACATGCAACGATATTAACTGCAAAGTCCTGGTGAGTACCATTCACTATACCTTAAATCATTACCCCTTCCCATTGCCCTTGTCATTCCCTTATCCTAGCAAAACTTTTGCGCTCTCTTCGTCTAGCTGGCAGGTTTGCAAAGCAGCGAGTCGACGAACGACGAGTCGCTGCTCAATTTTGCACAACTGCACAAAATATTACTGGGATTATGCTCAGTTGTGGGAGATAATTTCCCTACTTTTATGCTGTTTTAGTACTTGCACATTGCAGCACATTTATTCAAAATAATAATAAAACTGTCAAATTGAATGTTTAATAGAAACTGTAAAATGTTATTATTTTAATTAGAGTCATTACTAAATTCAGACGATCACTAAAAATAAAATACAAAAAGTTCAACAATTATTTCTGTGACGCAGTTAATTATATAATAAATATATATATGTAATTTCAGCTGATCACTAAACGCAGATGGATAGCAGCGACGACGACGACAGCACCAAGTCGATACCGCGGCCCATCTATGAGGCGACCTCGGCCATTGATAGCCCGCCTCCGACTTTGTGGGCAGGAACAGCTGCCCAAGAGCGGGACGCATTGCCCAATAAGCGATTGAAGTATGTTGTCAGCTCTCCTCCGGACTCGGCCAATGGCAGCAGTTCTTCCAACTCGAGCGCCTGGAAGGAGACAGCCGCAGCGGCTGGAGGCCATGCGTCGCTCACAATGAAACTGACCAAGGTGGCGCCACATCAAAGCGAAGCGAAGCCCACAAGCACATCGACGCCCAAGCAGGAGGTGAAGGTGCGCGTGCCAAAGGAAATGGTTGCCCTGCAGCGCTCTCATAATGAGTCGAAAGTGCTGACCGGCTACGTCTCCGATAGCGCCAAGATGAAGCGCCGGAAGTCTCGCGCCATTGCAGAGCATCTAATCAAGCAGTCTTCGACAGGTGGCAGCAGTCTGTCCAGCACACTGCCCAGTTCGAGGAGCAGCACAAGAGGTAGAACTAAGACGCTGAAGCGTAGCAAGAGCATCCCCGCACCCATGTGGGATTCTCTAGAGGAATGGCAGCAGGCGACACAGCTGCCCAAAAATCAGACAAAGAAGAGGCGCAACTATTCGATGGCTTGCGATCCTGGCGAAGACACGTTGGCTGATCTGAGCGCTAACGAGGAAACAGAGGAGGAGAGCAACAGCAGCCACGGGAGACGATTTCGTTCCCGCAGCAAGACCGTCTCGCTGAGTAGTGGCCATATGCGATCTGAACTCCATCGAATCGGTCCATTGGAACAGGTAGAGGCAGAGGCAGAGGCGGACACGGACGGTGGAGAGTGGCGCACCAGCTCCACGGCGGATACGGATCCCAATATATCCATATTCTCGGATGCCACAGATGACACCAAGATAACGGGATCGGTTGGTGGGGGCAGTGGCGATGCACGCGAAGAATTGCAGAAAAGGCTCGACGAGATTTGGCAGCCACCGCCAAGGGTAATTCGATCGATTATATCTAAAACGTACAAATATTACATTATGATATTCTTTCCCCAAAATTACAGAATAACTGGGATCCCTTCTGCTGGAAGTGCCGTGGCTGCGGCTCTCTGATGCCCTGCTCCAAATGCCTACGCTCCTTCCACGCCTACTGTGTGCGGCCTGCTTCCACGAAATTCGACAGCTCCTGGAAATGTCCTGAATGTCTACTGATCGATAGCGCGCCCAAGCGGTAAATATTGTGGTACATTCGTTAAACAATTGCTTACTATCCCATTATTTTCATGCTATTTGAAGGCCACGTCGCAATGATGTATCCGTGGATCTGCTCAGTCAGTTACTCGCTTATGCGTTGGAGCGCATGAAACTTGTGCGCGGGGTAAGTGATACATACACATACATACATCTTACACACATGCATATATAAATATGAAAATATTAATAATAATATAAATATATATATTACTCGCTTTCCGTAACCGATCGCATTATTCATTATCTCTCTGCCTTCGGTCCTCATTCGTTTGTTTGTCATTTTGAAAACAACATGCGAAATATTTACGCGCACACAACACAATTACATAGAGAGCCGTTCACTTACACACACGCACACGTGTACTTATGTGTATGTAGGTCTTCAGTTGCGCGCTCTCTTCGTTGCCATCGCCGGTGCTGGTGGCTTTCTCTCTCTCCCTCTTCCTCTCTCTCGCTCTATCGTTAAGAAAACGTATAGATACCTGAAATGTCTCGTTCTTGTTCTCGTCGCTTTTGCTGGGTTTTTATTTAGTTTTAAACTGAGCGACAATCACCTCTTCTCCTGGACCCCCTATATATAATATAAAATATATTCGTATGTACATTGTAATGATAAATACAGGGATTTTTGCTTAAGCGCAATAATTTAAATTGCCATGAAAACTAATTTCTGGAATACTAACTTATTATTTAGTACAATAATATAATCAAATCACGTTCCAATTAGATTCCTGTTTATATATGTATTTATTTTGAAATTCTTACAATGCCATAACAACATTTCAGTTAGCAGACAGAAATTAATCCTATTCAAATATACAAATATTTTTGCAATGTAAAAATAATTAAAATCAAAATTGGAATTATTAATTTCGCTCCTCTACAAATTTAAATTTGTAGGCTGAGTTGTAAATTGCAATAATTTCCATTTGTCCATTTATATTCGCACATTTCTAAGCAACTTTATTAAAGCTTAAGAATATAATTTGGGGCATTTATTTTCTAGTTGTTGATGGGCGCAATATTATGCTTGAACATGAAGCAGAGACTCGAACGAAAGCACTCCATAAAGTGGCAAATTAATGCTGTGCTCCCACCCAGTGGGCTGCCTTTGTGGCATAAAATGTGCGAGAAATGAATTAATTAATTTAATGTCTGAGCCGTTAGCTAGCAATGAGCGTTAAAAACAATTACAAGTGTAAACCGCAGGCAAATTAACTTTAATACATACATACATACCTGCATTGTATATACATACGCACATATTAGCTGATGTTATGTATGAGCATAAATGTACATGAATATGTGTGAATGGCAGCAGGAAGCAAACAAAATCAAATCGAAGAAGCAGAGACATAAGCACACAGCAATAGCAGCAGCGCAACAGCAGTAGTAGAGGTGGTGGTGCGGCGACGTCAATGGCGCAATATTATTGCCTGGTATTGCCGCCTCAGCTACGTTTGCTGTGTAATTTGAGGTTAGTTACGCTCACACACGCACAGTCACATGCACACACACATGGATTGGAGTGTGTGCCCACATACTGGCATTTGTCTGGCTCTGTTCCGAATTGCCTGTGTTTGTTGCTGTTCTTGTTGATTTTACTGCCCGCTCTTCTCTTGTCAAACTTGTTTGTTTACAATAAAAATTGCGCTACTCTCTTCGCCGCGACTCTCTTAGGCGGCGAATTGCTGCTCAGCTGTGTAGCTGCTGCTGCTGCACCAATAAGGCTCACATGTTTACCGCTTCAATCATTTTGAAAACTATTCACGCCAACGGAAATTAAATAACTTTTTTTTTTTTCATTTTTTAGAAAGCCGAATATGCTGAACGTTATTAATTTTTGTTCTTCTTTTTGAAGGTACACAAATTGCGTGCACCACAGGATGTACTGCCGGATAGTTATAGCAAATACTTTGCCAATCCGGTGAGCTTCGAAACCTTAGCAGAACGCATCAAAAATCACGCATTTCACAGCGCCGACGAGTTCCTCAGCGAGGTGAAGTGGATACAGCACAATGCACTCATTTTAGACTACGGAGGTAAGTGGCATCAATTGTTGTAATTTAATAAAGTATAATTCGTTGAATTCTTGGGCAGATGTGAAAGTGGAGCAAGCTTCTAAGGCAGTAGTCAAGGTCTGTCGGCAGGAGGCCAACGAGATAGATACCTGTGCCGAATGCTACTTGAATGCCAACTCCAGTGACGAGTGGTTCGTGAAGGTGTGCACCCAGCCGCATTTGCTGCTGTGGGCCAAGCTAAAAGGGTTTCCCTACTGGCCAGCCAAGGCTATGGGCTGCGGTCCCAATGCAGGCGTTAATGTACGCTTCTTTGGCAAACACGATCGCGCCAACGTGCCCGTCAAGGATTGTTTTTTGTATTCCGCACAAGATCCCAATACGCAGACGAGTCGACGATCTGCTCGCGATCTGGCCGAGTGCATTCGGGAGGTGGAGGTGCACATTGAGCACATAAAGAATAAAATTGGCGCCTTCAACTATGCTCCATATCGTTTGCCCTACGATCCACAGGAGGAGCAACAGCAACTGGAGAAAATGATGCCGGGTGTCAATGATGTCATCAACAGGCAGTTGGAACCTGCCAACAAGACGCCGCTGCAGTTCCTCATACGCAAAACAGCCGGCGACAAATTATCAATTGTGAAAAAGACAAAAGCAACCGAATCAGGCAATGAATCTGATCAGTCAGGTAGCCCCATCAAAAAACCAATCCACGACGCTGAATCCTCGTCTCCGCAATCGACTAGCGATCACCCGAAGCCGAAGAGCAGCAACTATGAAGTGATACCAAGAGCTGGCGATGCGCTAAGAGAATCTCGTGGGTGCACAGTGGTTCTTAAGCGCAAATCCCTGGAGTCCTGCAAGACATTAGCCAAAGTTTCGTCAACTGTCACCGGAGAGCAAGTGCCCATAATTAAACGCAAGCACTCACAGAGTGATGCCAGCAGCGAGACGAGCCAACAGGGCAGCAGTTCAGAGCAGAGGCGACGGGCAAAGCACGCACGCAAAGCACCGGCAGACGAATGCCAGGACGATGATGAGGAGGGGGAGGAGGAACTGGAGCCAACTGAAGAAGAAACGGGTCAGCTCAAAGTTGACAATGAAACATCAGCTCCAACCATAACGGGCTCAACTGAAGCAAGTCAAGGGGTTGAGTCGGTGGTGGAACTGGTGCGCAGACGGCAAGGCGTAACCATAACCAAGATACCCAGGGATCAACAACAGCAGCAGCAACAGCAAATTCAACAACAGCAACAACAGCAGCAACCACAGCCGCAGCAGCAACCACAACAGCAACAACCACAGCAGAAGCAGCCGCAACCACAACCGATTCCTGCCAAGCCGAATGAGCCAGCAGCTGTTAATGAGACCATAGCTAGACAGCGTGCAGTGGAGCGACAGCAGCAACAGCTCATCAGCAAGGTGGTGCCTTTTGTGGAAATCAAAAAAGAAGTGCTCTCTGAGCCAGAGGAAAATGAGGAGACGCCCAATGCAACTGCGACGGCAACTGCGACTGCGACTGGAACACAACCGATGCCAGTAGAGGAGGAACAGCAGCAAGTACCAATTGCACAGCCAGCGCCAGAGATCAGCCTACCGACTGCAGCACCACCCGCGCAACCAGAAGTTCCACCAGCTGCTGAAACCATTGAGCCAGTTAAGATCAAGGAAGAGGTGCTCAGCGAGGAGGAAATGGAAACGGATCACAATGAGCCTGCAAAGCCGCCTACATTGCCCAACCGAGAAGTGCAGCCTGCCACAATCAACTCTGTTGAGGCCACGCCCCCTCAAAGCGCAGCAGCGCCTGAAACCTTTGTGCGCTTCGTAGGCGATACCACTATACAGAGATTGAGTCAGAAACAGGCGCCCAAAGTCCCCGATGCGACGGCAACTACGGCGACGACAATGACGGCGGCTCAAGCAGCAAAACGTGGCTCTTTGCGAGGCGTGCCTCATGGTCCATTGCCAGCGGCAGCTCAGTCACCCGCCTCAACGCCACCACCGGCGCCGTCATCACCCGCGCTGTCAGTCGCATCCATGTCGAGCAACATTCAGCGACCAGTTCCACAATCCTCGCCCAAGCTGCAACAGACAGTTGGTCATCCGTTGCGAGTGAAGACTGACAAATCGTTGAATGAGACAGCACCACAATCCGTGCTAGCAATGCCAGCTGCCACGCCCACGTCAAGCCTGCTCAAGTCCAACATGGTGGTCATACCCATGGAACCGCGCAGCACCAACGGAGCTGGCGGCAGCAGCATTGGCAACAACAGCAGCAGTAGCAGCGCTTGCAATCTCAACAATGCCAGTCTGATGAGCATACCTGTGCCACCGCTGAGAGCTGTCTCCAAGAATACGCTGCAATCCACAAATGTGATGACTTCGATCACGGCTGTGCCGGTTCCAGCGCCTGTGCCCACATTTCCCAACAGCTCGCTGCCGCCGCCGCCACTGGCGGGGCTAACCACAGCGACAACGGCCACGATTCGACCCGTGGGCAGTGGCTCAGAGTCGGGTGGCCTGCTGGCCAGCGCTCTGAATGGCCTGCCCAGTGATACCCTGGTTAGTGAATCCACTCCGGCGGAACCTATTACGCCGGGATTGGCGACCGCTTTGAGCGAGTTGCTGTTGCGTCCTGGGCCACCCAAGCTGACGATGCGGCCTTGCGGCCCACTGCAATCAGATGGCTCCAACTTGTATCCAGCACAAGCTGGACCACTGTCCACCAAACTGAAGGAGAATGCGCACAAGGTGAGCTACGTTCAGTTGTATGTAACGGTATTTCAATCACTACATCAGTGAATCAATCAAACACTCTAGAAGTCAATCGATTTGTAATATGCTAATCACATATAATTCCATGCAGATTACGGATTACTTCATCTCGGTCATTGAGGACACACTCAGCGATCTTGCTGGAGGAGAGCCCAGTGTGCTGCAGGCCAAGATTGCTGGCCTGACGCTGGAGAACGAGCGCATGAAGCAGCACTACGAGCGGCAGATCGCCGACTTGCAACGCTCCACAGAGATGATGATCTCTGAGATGCGCAAGACCATGGAGCAGGAGAACAAGCGGGTGATTAATGAACTGCGACAGCATAGCACGCTGGAGCGGATGCGAGCCGTGGAGGAGGCCAAGAAGAAGCAATGGTGCGCGAATTGTATGCGCGAGGCGCAGCTCTATTGCTGCTGGAACACCTCCTACTGTGACTATCCCTGTCAGCAGATGCATTGGCAGCGTCACTCCGCCACTTGTGGCCAAGCCTCCACGGTGCAGGCGCAGGCACAAACACAGCCACAGGTGCAGGTGCAGGTGCAGGCGCAACCCGAAGTGACAGGTCGTGGCAAGCACAAGCAAATGGCCAGCACAACGCCAGCTTCCAGCCAGCAATTGAATCGAACCTCCGTTGTGGGCCCTCCCAACAAAAAGTGGACGCATCAGCCGATGATATCGCTGGTGAACCCCGTACCGCCCGCCTCCACCGAGATGCTCAAATTGCCCAATAACACATTTCTGCGACCCGTCTCGCTGCCCTCCACAATGCCCGCTCCGAACAGCAGCACCATTGTCACTCCAGTCACTCTCATCACACCCGCCACAACGAGTCATCTGGGCAACACGATCATGACGAATCAGCGGAACACTCAACTCAACTATGCTGCAAAGCAAACGCAGTCGCAGCCGCAGCCGCTTCCCGTGCAGCGCTACAATATAAACGTAAATTGAATTAATGCCATTTGCAATTCTTCATCTAATCAGCATCATCCACTTTCCTAGTTGCCCATCACAGTTAGCAACAATGCGCAGTTCGGACACATTACGGAGCAGCATCAGAAGCACGTGGCAAAGTCCACCAGTCGAGCCTCTCTTAAAGGCAACAGCCGTGTCCGCAATGCTAACAATCCCATCAACAATATAAACAACATGAACAATAACAACAGCAACAACAACAACAACGCCCAGGCAATGCGCCACAACCAAATCAATCACGGCTTTCAACAGTGAGTAACAGCTCAACAGTTCGTAAAGTCAAGACCATAAAAATATATATTTATGGTGCGACTTAGACTTGGCATTCATAACTAAATTTTTTTTTTTACTCGTAAAACAAGTTTTATACATGTAGTACGTATTGAGCAGTAAAGCTCTTCTTGTATAAGCTTGCAGAGAGCATTCCAGAATGAATTCCATATATGTAATTGTGAAAGCTCTAAATATAATTTTGATCAAGATACGACGACGAATTGGGATAAAACATAGTTCAGTCTCTATCACAATGGTATAGATTGTCGATTACATGAAGTAGGTAGCAGTGCGTGTCGAATCAAGAATTTGCCTCCAGTATATACATTATTATTACAATAACATTCCATTACAATTTTTAACTATTTATTTTGTTTTTGTTTCAGGTAACAATTAATTCGAGTGCAGTTGAAGGGTCCGAGTACTACAAACCTTAACACAAGCTGTATACATATTGATTAAAGAATAACAATTAAGAAAAAATTACTTAGGATTAAGGCAAGATTTATTTTACTGACATGTATACATATATATAGATATCTCTATATACATATATTTAGATATATATGCATATTGCTGTAATTTTAAAACATGGCTCACATAGCATGTAAAGTATATATAACCATGAGATGGACTTATCTACTAATAATTACTAACTTCACCCAATGGGCAACAATTTTGTTTAGTTCTAAATATGTAGTTTATATTATCATAAGATCATTTATCGGGAGTCTACGCCGACCGAAGGCATCTGTACATTCATCATATGTATCGACTCGCTAAGAAACCTTGAAATCTATATAACTCTAAGTTCATAAGTAACTAGAATATAGCTCTAAGCTGAATAAAATGAAGACATGTTCCGACGATCATATAATAACTTTAACTTTATTTTAACAAAACACCACAAATCGAAAGACAATTTTTTTGTAATCGAATTTATATTAATCGATATCTAATTTCTTAAAGTTACCTGCGATGCCAAACAAATCGGAAGCATTCTTTGGCTTTCCCGGTCTCAACTTTTCGTTCACCTGATGTCGCGTCTCGAATTCCAGCATTTGCTTGCGATCATCTATTAACTTGTTGTAGTATAATTCTATGTAATATATAGATGATAATCGTTTGTGTATATTATAAATATATTTATTTATATTATTTGCAGTCCTACCTCTTGCCACTTTGGTCTCTTCAAATTGTCCGCCATAGTCCTTAGGCATCATCTCACGCGGCACAAATTTAAAGAACTCATTGATATCGTTGTGCAAGTAGAGTATGCTGGTCAGCTCCTTTTTCATGAATGGATTCATTAGCGCCATTATCTTGTCCATGAACGGCACAATGTTGATGAAATGAAAGCCAATGAGACGTATCGCAGCTGCTTCCTAAGTATAGAGGCAGATATAGATTTAAATATATATAAGATAATATGACGCTCATGTATAGTTTGTATTCAGTTACATTTTTGTACAGAATTAAATATTTTTAGTTAGATCTTGGATATTGGCTATCAGAATTTTAAGACAGGCTCAAAAGTATGCAACGGTTTTTGCAACGGATGCTCTGTGCGATATAAAAATCAAATAGTTATATTCTTATATCACCTCTTTGATGATACGGAATATAACATATATGATATATATTTGTTTTAATTTTCCGTTACTATATAAGTATTTTATATATTGAATCCCATTTACCTGCAAATAGAACAGGAACTTCTTCATCTGCAGCAAGCCAATGCGTGCCACATGACCCAAGGAGCAGCCCTTCAGATCAATGACGATCACGTGCCCTGGCTGTATGCCATCCTCGTACATCCAATAATCGAATACCATGCAGTAGCTGCAAATGACAGTTTGCACGGATCATCATGCATGGCAATATATTATACGTTTGTCAATTGTATTTTACTATTTTAATTAGCAATTATTAAACTTTAAATTGTTGTCTGACAGAATTTAGCTGTATGTATGTATTGCGTATGTATCTGTAACTCTGCCTGTATCTGTTTCCGATTCTATCTTTAAATTTCAGAATTTGTATCTGTGTACAGACTTGAAATACGCATCTCAGTTTGCAAATGTATCTTAGGTCTGTATGGGTATCTCCTTTTCTGATATCAAACGTATCTGTATCAATGACTGGATACATGTATATATATGTGAGCGCATCTGTAGCTAGAAACGTATCTATATCTATGACGGTGTGTATCTATGTCTATGCCTGCATGAGTAACTAGACATGAGTATGTATGCCTGCATATGTATCTGTATATATTCGCACTTTGTTATCTGTATCCATGTCTGTTTCTGTATGTCTACATAGTACATGCACATATATATCGATGCCTTTGTATTTGTATCTGTATCTGCACCCAGCAAATGTATCTGTGTCTCTGATCGTGGCGTGTTGCGTGTATGTTTTTTAATAGTTTCAGTCGTTGCTCTGACGTTTTCACTAGCTTCTGACTTGAGGCACTTTGAGCTTTGACTCTTGGGTTTATTAAGCCTATTTTGCACCTGTCATAATTATGACTGACAATATTTCAGTGCGCGAAGCTCCCTAATTGCTATTATTAGCATTCATAACTATAATTGAATATTTCATATGTCACTAATATAGGGGATTAGGGCTCTAAGAGAATATACTGGGCTTAGTAATAAATAGAAATTTAAATCAATTAAGATTACTTGGCAATACTATTACACTAATATGTACACCTTAATATATATACGTCTAAAATATACATACATATATACTAATCATTAAGAATATTATGTAAGAATAGTATGTATGAATATGTAATTAAAATGTGTTAATCTAATCGATCCGTGTAGGGTATTAGATAACTATTGCAATGAAAAATTTGTTTTCTTTAAAAACTATTTTTAATAAATTGAACAAAGATGTAAATCTCAATATTTCTCAGGGTATTTGAGGGAGACCATCTCACTCTGTCATGTATATATATTTGCAAAGTACGTTGATCTCTAATATACATATATATATATAAACAAATTATATTCATCTCAATACTTTGGTAGTCAAGAATCTCTTTGCAAAAGCAATTTCTTTTTGGCACTTACAGTTTCATGACATCGGCATAATTGAAATTGGATGCATTCAGATCCTCCAGCTTGCCCACTATAACTCGGTATCCCTCGGGTGTGGCACCTGGCAGTGGAACGATGGAGCTGCAGGTGATATACATATATGAATTACAGATAACAAAACACATAGCTCAACTCGGCTTTCATACACCGTTTTCATGGCCCTTTTTAGTTGATTCGACTCGATGTCCAGATTCACAAAGAAGTCGTCCAGGTGAGTGCGGGCCGTGAGATTTGTTTCTAGCACCTGTTTAGCCATCTCCATGCTGTACTTGCAGGCATGGAAGAAATGCAGTGCCTCCCCCTCGGAAAAGTGGGGGGAGAAGTGCGGCTGGGCATGTATCCAATCGACAAATTTTCGCATCTCCTCACGCTTGATTTGTGGAAAACGCTTGTATTGCTCATCCAGATCGGCCAGCTTCATCTTTCAGTATATATGGTGATTTTTCTTTGATAATGGAAAATTGAACTGTCGAGATGTTTTTTTTTTTTTTTTTTGGGGAGCTGCGTTTTTTACCAGCAACGCTCGGCACTCGAATGAAATTGAAATTAAAACTGTTTTTGCTTTCGCAAAGTGAAACTGGTTGCGCGTTCCCCATTGCAGTGGCTGCCTCTGCTGGCGTTGCTGCCGCTGCTGCTGCTGCTGCTGCTGCTGCTGCTGCCTGGCAAATTTGATTTTTCCTCGGCTGTTGTTGTTGCCGTTTGAGAAAAGTGCAACTGGCTTTTGCTAGCCGCTCATTTCACTTGCGTGAAAATTCAAGTTTTTCTCGGCAACTATTATTACTTTTATTGCAGTTACGTAATGCGCACACACACTCGCACTTACACTCGTGTTTCAGCTGAAGCCGTATGTTATTATTATTCATCATAAGCCATTAAAATAAAATAAACGCGTGCCATTTGCCATTTGCCATTTTAGCTCCCTGCAATCGACCCATTCGATTTGAAAATGGTAACGCCTGAGTGCATTAGATAAGACGTGTCCGAAAATTAAGTGCCCTATGTCATTAAATACCAACTAGTGTACATATTTTAAATACTGACTATTAATATTGATATTTTAGTACACAATGAGATTAACTATGTTAGCCGTATATAGATTACATGAGAGATCAATGAAATCTTCAATTATATATTTATCTATCTGTTTTTCTTGTACATGTCTTATTTTATATTGCTCAGATTAAAGACATACATATATTAAGGGAATAAGAAACAGTATCTTGTGAATCTATGTATGTATGAGTATCTATATGTATTTTTATGTATGTATGTATGGCAGTTAATGAATTTTGAAGACAAACTTTATGGCATTTTTATAGCTCACATTTGTGAATCTCATTAACATAGGATATGTAATTAATTTTAGTTGAGCTATTTAAATGGACAAGCCAAGGGAGCTTTAGCAATGAGGATGCTAACTTGAATGCCATGCCAGAATGTAGATGTAGAGTTGCTATCTCATATAGCCAAAGACAGTGGGCCAATATTTGGAATGATTATACAAAATCTATTATATAAATCAGATTATATAAATCTGAAGGGATTCTGAATCTAAATCCATTTACGTTCAGTGTTTGAGGTAATTAAAAAGTTTTAATAAAAAATTTGGAAAAATATAGTCTTATTCTTAAATATCCCAATAGAATGATTTCTAAATTGATAACAATGGATAATAGGTAATAGATAATATAGTAGAGAAGCATCTACTCAGGTCGTTTTTCAATGTGTTATTTGAACAAGTTATTTTTGTCAATTCAAGATGCTTCTAGTCACTCTCTACCTTTTCAAGTTTACTCTACTGTACACTAAATTTCAATAGTCATTTGTATCTGTGTCTCTCTCTTTCTCAATTAAATGATATTGCGTGCTAAGGTGCCCATTAAAACGACTCCAAAGACATACATGTATACAAACATCTACAATGGCCAACAGAGAGTACAAACGCTTGAAAGCCGAGTTAATATAATCTCATATACATATATGACCTAACAATGTTGGTCAACTCTTTGGGCCAACCCATTGATCTGAGCTGACTTAAGTGGCAGCTTTACCAAATTTCTTATACAATCAAAAGGTTGTAATCCTCTTGCCTAGCTGTGATAGACAAACTCTTGACATTTTGGCAGCAGCCAATGCCACCAAGATGCCGTGCCACCCAACTGCCATGCCACTCGACTCGGTTGCCGCAGCCACAGCCACAGCCGCAGCTGAACCTGTCTCGATGTCTGCAAACAGTGTCTAACGTCAGTCTGTGTGCCAGTTTGGCGTGTCTGAAATTCCAACGGATTAGAAGTTGCGCGTAAAGAGCAAACGGCATTTACAACCAACGGGGGCAACACCAAAAGCAACAACAACAACTGCAACTGCAACCAGTTTGCCAACGGATGAGGCCTTGCAGTTTCTGGGATCGAGTCGCAGGTGCCGGCCATGGTGTCAGCCACAATATGTAGGTGCCTCGCCAAAAATTAATTACCACAATTCAAGAGGGAGCAGCAATAAGAGCAACGGAATGAGAGAGAGAGCGAGTGAGCAGGTCTCAGAGGTAAGCCCCCTTTTGACTTGTGACTGACATGAGTCACTTTTGCTACCAGCCAAACTCGACTGACCCCAAAAACCAATTGCAGGAATGCGCGCAGACCACGATGATGACAACATCACATGTTATACCCTGTAAAAAATACGGAGAATTTATTGAAATGAGGGTATGCTCGTTTTATGGAGGTTTATGTAAAACGTAGATACAAGTGAATGAATCTAATATATAACTTTGATTTTATTTTAATTTTAGTCGAACTTAAAGTTCCACAACTTGACTTCAATTATTTTGCAATTTATATCTCTGGCAACAAGTAGCACTTCATTCCCTGCCAACTCAAGTCAGCTTACAGGGTATCTCGCAGTCTCATACTCACCAACAAAGCTCACTTTATTATTGTTGTTGTCGGCAGCGTGTCTCGTTTCAAGTCGCCGTCACGCAGCGGATCCTACATGCGGCTCCTTATTTCGGGGCTTGGCTTTTGGGCTGCGCGCATGAGCGAACGCTCTTGTCCTCCTTTTAAGGCCCTGCCGGTCCCCGGCCCCAGCCCCTTCGGCTGCCTCTGCTCTCACCTACCCACATCTCCGCCTACCACTCCCCATTGCTAATGCCAGTTGCTGTTCTGCTGATTCTTCTTCATTTTCTTTAGCTTCTTTTGCTTTTGCTCTTTTTGCCATTTTTCACGCATTTGACTGCATTACTTAACCTCAATTTGCCTGGCGACGTGCCGCAAGTTGCTTGCCTGCCCCCGCATGTCCCACTCTCTGCCATGCCCCCTGCTGCTGTTGTTGTTTCCGTTGTATGCCCCAGCGCTGGCCGTGGCGACAAATGAAGTTGTCGCATCGACCACGCCTACCCTCACATGCCCCACCTCCCACAGCCGCCCACTTGTAAATGCTGTCCAGTTACTTTGGCCACTGGTTTTGCATTTCTCAACAATTGTTGCCGATTGCAACGGATCCTGTTCCCCTGCCGCTGCCCCCATTCCCGCGCTCTGCTCATCCATTTCAATTGGCGCGGCGACCTGTCTGACTCATTTGTATGGGTTGCCCTACGTGTGGCAGGGCCGGCTCCACAGTCGCTGTTGCACTTGTGTATTGTGCTGCTGCTGCTGCTGCTGCTGCCACGCGTTTGCCGCAAGCGATAGCTTAGATAGTTGCGCTCGACTAAACAATACCCTGCACTGAGGTATCGTCAAGAAATTGAAATCTAACTTATAGTTACACACAAATATTGTAGATGATCGCTGTGATGTGGCTTACACTGAGGTAAACATATTCTAGTCTATCCCATCTATAACAAATTCTCTAGTTTCATATATTTTTCTTTACAAAATGTACTTCACAAAGATACGATATTTATATCCTGCCTTTAAGAATTTACCATTTAACTTATAACTTATACTTTTGTTTATCAGCTTATACATATGTGTATATGTTCCTATCTAACTATCTGTATATTTATCTGCCTAGCTATATCCCTATATATCTATATATCAAGCCAATGATTCTATCACTCTATATTATATTTCATGATCCACATCCTATATTTATTTTGTGATATTTGGTTTTCTTTTTATCTATCCCTTTGTTTATATATATCGATATTCCTAAATCGATCAACTTTAGTTAGCAAACTGAAAAATATGATTCATATTTATATATTAAAACACATGCACTTATCTTTTAATTTGAGGTACTACAAAGACCCTCATTATATACATGATTTAGAATCCATGACCATCGATCTCCCTCTTCTCTGTCCCCAGTACAGGGTATTTAAAGTCTCGTATCTGATTCCGATTAACCGCTTAGCCCCTTTCCGCCACGTTGAAAAACCAAACTCGTTTTGCGCCACATTTCTTGTGACTTTTTCTGTTATTTTAGCGGTTTTTGTTTTGATTTCTGATTGCCGTTCGAAGTTCGAACGTCTTTTCAATGCGATCTGCTGCGATTCGCTTCTCTTCTCTTCTCTTTTCTTCTCATAGTTGCAGTTGTTTCTTTACTGTTCATTGTTGTTGTTGTTCTTTTTGTTGTCGCTTTTATTTATGGTGGCAAGTGCCGCTTGACAAATTGATTTTGATTTGTTGGGCTTTTTATTTGGCTTTTTTGTTGTATTTTCATCGCCACTTCCTTTGGCTTGAGGTTAAGTCTGTATCCTCCATCTAGGATGGCATATAACGATAACTATATTAGTGCATAATATACTTCACCTTTAAGACAAAACAAAAAGTAGTAACAGGTTCACTTTGACTTACTTTTGACAGTCTGTTAATCATTAGTACTTAGATCAAGTCTAAATAATAGCCTTTATATCCTGCTTTCAGCTTCTACTCCACATTCTTGAACTCGCTAAAGTCAATTAGTTTGCCACACCCTGTAAAATGAGCAACGGTAAGAACAACGTCAACGACAGCAACAGCTAAACAATTTCATAAGCATTTAAATTAGAGACCAAACAAAAACTATTAACAATTCAATTCTCGCTCTCCCTCTCTCGTATTGAGGGATAAAGCCAATTCGAAAAAGCTGAAAATTTGAAATGAAACATGTACGAAGTTTACAGTTTGGTACTACCGACTGCATAATACTCGTTCGATTATTATTTTATTTTAGATATAATGCTCAGTTTAGATATAATCATATATGTAAAATTCAGAAAGGTAATAGATGATGGTAGATATTGTCAAATGCTAGAATTTGATCTTTAATAATTTTAGAGTAGTTTCCAAATGCCCCAAAAGATTCAAATACCTACATATGTATATGTATATGCTTCAATAATATAACACATAATATAATATAATATATAGATGTATAAGCTTCAATTTCATTTCCCCACTAAAAAATTCCAGATATTTCATAGCACATCAAAATATAAATATA